CGCTGTGTGCTTCGTTGTGAAAGCGAAACTACTTTGTTTGGTCTTCCAAAAGAGGACGATAGTACTTCGTCATGCCTAGAGCTGATCTGTGCTTCTCGCTGAGGAAATACATCAACTTCACGCTGTGGATCGCCGAATCGGCTTTCACCGTGGACGAAGCCGAGTCCAGCCCGGGGTCCTCACATGTGGTTACCGCAAGCATCACAGTATGGTAAGGGGCTTAACATTTCCGTCACACACTTGAGGAATTCGGCCAATCACAATGCACTGGATAACTGGCCAATCAGAGCACACATGCTTTTTCAGAAGGATGAGCTTTGTAAAAATCGACGCGTTTCAGAAATGCGGGGCATAGAGGAGAAACAATAATGTACAGTATGTGGAAAATAATGTGTTTTTTGAACCTTAAACCGCATAAACACATTTCATTACACCAAATACACAAAATAATGTTCTTTTTAGCAGCATATGACCCCTTTAACGTTCCAAAACTGACTGTGTTTAACTGGATACTCACCAAGACGGGCATTTTGACATAATTTTGTATGTATTTGAACGTTTTAGCGCAGTTAGCCACTCATTTTGGTATTTGTGGCTCACAAGCCGTTTGAGACAGAGCGCGGATTGTGTGCTCCACTAATATAGATCAGTGATGATGCGCGCGCTTTTGGTGTAAGCGCGAAACCTGCGGGAATGACTAAAATAATGTGCAATACAAGCACTATTTAACCAGAGCGAATGAGACGTGTGAGAGAGAAGGGGTCGCCGGAGAGAAGAGAGCGAGAATGGCCGATCATGAGGAAAATCGGCCGATTCCGATCCCTGGCCGATCGATCGGTGCATCTCTAGTGACAACAACATGCAAGGACACAGACGCTCCTGACCAAGAGAAACAAAATTAGCAGCAGAGGATTGTCATCACAACTTTTTTGTAGTGTTTTTTTTTTGTATTATAGTATCTCTGTTTAATTTCTTCATTGTAAAAATCACTTTAAGTTTACTTTTACAGTGTTCTGTTGTTTGCATTAATACAAACAAGCATATTTAAAATTAAATAAAAGTATTTTGCAGTTGTATGTGTCTTGGTTTCAGGTTCCTATCCTTGTCCTATGCCTTATTTTCTAATAAGTATACACAGCTTTTGCATGCCGTCAACAAAGATGGTCTGCTCATTCTGTATAAATGTATCACACACTTTGTGGTGAGCTCGTATGTATCGGCCTGCTGCTGTTGCACTCTGGTCTACACTGATCGGCACTGGAAGTGGAGCAGAAGTCAGTGTTTCTGCTTGAATGTTTAAGCACTGCTTCTGTTCTTATGTTTTTGTGGTTGATTTCTGTCCAACACCCACAGTGCAGATTCTCACATTATTTTCTTTTTTGCTCAGAAGTTCAGCACGCTCATTACAGGAACCAATGCAACACAGAACTGTACTTAAAGATTTCTTCTTCTTCTGAGATACAGAGAAGAAATGGGGCCTGCATATATCAAAAAAGAAAAATAGTGGCGAACATGATATCAAACAGCAGACAAAATACCAGCATAACTGCATTTACAAAAATGTATACTGTAGTTCACTTGTTAGTAATTGCACAAACATGTTCAGCATAGCTTTATAAGAGGAGAGAACAGATTAGATATTAAAAAATGTCTGGTGAAATCTGATGAAAGTTTTCCCAACCATTGTTTACTGTTAAATTAATAATAGTTAGGAAAAAATGTAATACATAATTAGGGGTTCGTTTAATTATTTTTTTTTAAAGTAAGATTACTTTTTTATATTAGATACTTTTTGCATTGTTTTC